GATAAATGGATAAATTGTGGTACATATATAAAATACTGTGCAACATAAAGAAGAATATTAAACAGCATGGATGGACCCGAAGGACAGGCAGAATGCAAAGTGAAAGAAGTCAAGCATGTATGCACTAACATCATACGGCCTTCTTCTATAGGAAGACAAGAATAGCTAAATAAAAAGAGACAATGCTAATTGGTGGTTACCAGGCAGGGGGTAAAGAGTAGGAAAACTATGATTTACACTGTGGAAACTAGTTACTTTCGATTGTGGGAAAAGTATTAGCGAATCTGAATGTAACGAACCTTACACAAAGTAAAAACCAGCAGTTAGGCATGCATGGATTGGTATAAGCAAACTGATATGTGAGTAGGTGTTCTGAAGTATAGGAAGATGTGTGTGAATTTCCAAACTTAGTACTGGTACCTGTTGGATAGCAGCAAGGGCTGAGTTGACTGAAATCTTACCAGAAGAGAAGAAATCTTGACCATGTACCAAACCAAACCAAACTCATTGCCACTGAGTCAATTCTGACTGTATTGGACAGAGCAGAACCGCCCATATGGGCTTTCAAGACGACAAATCTTTACAGGTAACAGCCCCATCTTTCTCTCGCAGAGTGGCTGGTGGTTTTGAACTGGTAACAGTGAAGTTAGCAGCCCAAGGTACACATTGCTGCATTCTGCTGGCTATCCATGGACTTGACTTTGCTTATAGATGCAGATGTTCAACATCCCAATTCCAATGACGATTGTTCAGATCAAAGAACTCGCACGTCTCCTCAGAGAACTAAGTTGTTAAGCATGGGACATTTAGAAACCGGACATCCAAAGTGGGGTTAGCTAAAAGCATGACGTGACTGGCTTACAAGCTTTCACGGGCGTGCTTAGTCTCAAGACAAGTTAAACAAGGGAGGATCCCAGTTTCCTCTTTTCTTCATTGGTCTGGAGAAGAGCGAATGGAATGGAGATGATTTTGATCAAATCATATGATTCAGGTGTGATTTTCAACTGAATTCATGGTGGTTCTAAAAATGGTTAATTGTAGGTGTAACTGAAAGAGAGGGGAAGTTAATTCCTCAAGCATAAATGGGTTAATGGCTAGAAGAACCAGTGGGGTAACATGAGATACAGACAATTAATATGGCCCTTGTAGGCACAGTGCCTTGTGGCTGTGGCTATAATCCAATTTTGGAGTGGGTTCTCTCTTATAGGATTACGGTGAGCTACTGCCATCGAGGCAAAGCTGACTCATAGCAAGCCCCTGTGGGTCTCCCAGATGGTAACTGTTTTACAGGAGTAGACAGCCCAGTTCCCCACGAGGAGCTACGGGTGGTTTCAAATTGCCGACCATGCGGATAACAGCCCAACACCTAACCACTACACCACCAGGGCTCTTCCGTAGATGAAACTCATCAGAGGATGCGACTGAAGTCACTCTCCTTTGCTTTCTTAGGAGTAGGGAAAGACAGAAACCACAGCTCCATCTACGACCCCTCTCTAAAGCAGGAACACAGAGGGAAATCTCAGAACTAATGGAAAAGCACCCCGGGAAGCACTTCCGAGATCTGTCTGAAGTGAAGCTGGCCAAGATCGTGGGCCTCAAAGGTCAAGGCAAGGAGACCATGAGACAGAACAGAGCAGCAGCACTGAGACTGTGAGACTGTAAGGCAGGGCGGAGAGACGTGGCTGTTGGTGGAGAGAGGTGCTGCTGCGGCCCAATGACTGTAACCTTGCTGTTTACTGATCCTGATTTGTAGGAACCCATTAACTTCTCTTATAAACCCCCTTAATTACGCGTCTTGACTGTGGATTCTGTGTGACCACTGCAACAGCTAACTGAACCCAGCATAGAAGCAGAGTGCCGTGGCAGAAACGCTAGGTTTCAAAACAGGGTAAAGAAAAATGGACAGTGAAGGAATGTCTGATCCCTGCTTTGTGGCAATCGGAAGCCAGTGGAGGCCAGACATGGCCCCCTGAGCCATTTTATAGTCTCATCTTTCTTTCAAGGGGGTATGAAAGCAAACCAAGCTCACTGCCATTGAGCTGATGCAGACTGATACTGACCCTTTATGACAGGAGAACTTCCCATTGAGTTTTCTGATATTGTAACTGTTTGTGGGAGTAGAAAGCCCTGTATTTCTTTTGAGAAGCCCCTGATGGTTTTGAACTGCTCACCTTTTGGATTGCACCCCAATGCATAATCACAATTGTTGACCTTGGAGTTAACAGCTCAAGTTGTGAGCCACAGTGTCACTTTGGTTCCTAGAAGTGCCTACAAGTATATATTATGTCAGTGTAGGCCGCAAATATGAATATTCCTTAGAATAACACCAAGTCTTCCAGCACCGGCCTTCTAGATTCAAAGGCCGGGGATCATAGTTTCATATGATAACTCAATAAACTATACATAGTTTACAAAACTGATTTGCATCCTAGGGAAATGAGTAGTGCCTGGAGTTTTAAAATCTGAAGAGGACCCATCTAACACACAACGCTGAGTCTCTACTTCTAGGAGCAAAACAAGTAAGAAGGTAACCCAAAGAGACAAGTCTACAAGGGCACAACCTCATCTACCCTGAGATGAGTTAAAACTAGATGGTGCCTGGCTACCAAACACTGACTATTCAGGCCAGTACCAAAACAGCTGGTCCCAGATTGAATGGGAAGCAAACATGGCAAAATAAAAACTCTTATTTAAAAAAATTAAAAGCCTGACAAATTGGAACAGTAGAGAGCAGAGGATTTCCCTGAGACTATCACCCTGGGAGATTCTTTAAATCTAAAACCAAGCCTCTTCTGAAATAAAGCTAAGATTCGTGTCCTAATTAAAAAACCTGAATCAGTATGAAACCCAAAGGTCAACAATTACTGAGAAAGCAAAGTTGAGAAGCTAAGTGAGGAGGGAAGCTAGAGTACTGGGAAAAGAACAAACAATACAAGGTCAATGTAAAAGAACGTTGGCACATCCTGATAAATATAATCAATGTCACTAAACAATCTGTGTGGAAACTGTCAAATGGGAACTCAACCTACTGTGTAAGCTTTCACTAAGTTTTTGTTTTTCAAATCTATCAACATGTTGCACTGACCAGAATCAGACTGGTCTTACTGGGATTCCACTAACAATTCTGTAATAAATGACAGCATCCAATATTTTCCTTAAAACACACACACACACACACACACACACACGGCATCCAAGAAGGTCATAGAAAAATACACTGTCTTTTAATTCTATTTCTCACAACCTTTTTGAAGCCCCCACATACAGAACATAAATAAGTACGTAATGTGTATATAAATTATATTACTAGAAAGAGATAAAAACAAATACATATTAGATTTTATGTTTCTTTTGCTATCAAAATCATCAGAGTAACTTGCTTCTACAGAATATTCATACCAAGTGTTTCTTTATATATACCTGCACTTCTAGGGGGAAATGTTTTTTACTAGTAATTTGGAAGAATATTTTAAAATTGTAAATAAATTGAAAACCGCCTAGAAGTTATGAAAGCTGAAATACTGGTATCTCAGTCAAAGGGTGAGAAGCAATTCATACATATTAATTCACTGATTACCTGACTCTGAGGCTAAGGATTAAATTCACATCATATTATAAAAAATGGAATTTGATCTTTATCTGAATTTGAATTTTACCTTGAACTTGTTCAGAACACCTCTCTCTGGCCTTCTCTCTCATTATTTTCGGGATCAAAACATCTTTTTCAACGTGTCTGAGATGCTCTTCTAAAAGAAAAATAAAATTTTACTTTAATATATTAAATCTGTCAGTTCAACTTACAAAATGAAAATATCTCTATTTTTTAAAAACCTAAGTCTCAAGAAATCACTAGAATTAAGGAAATAAGCACTCTCTCAACTCAAGAAAGATTATATGGTTCTTTTAAATGAGCTTAGGAACCACTGCAAATGCAGCCAGTCTTGCAGTGGAGGAGAAAAGACATAACTAAGCATCATGTTTAAAATTTTGACGAATTTTAGTTCAAGAAGAAATGACCTTGAAAACACCTCTTTCTGACCAAGGGATTTAAAGTCATAGGATCCAAATTAGGACTCCAAGAAAGCAGCGTCGTGGGCAATATGTGAGTGGCTAAGGAAGTTAAAAGGGCGCAGCAGTGTGGAGAGAGAAAAACTAAGCATGTGGAGTTTCCGGGAGCCAAGTAAGGGAAGCATTGCAAAGAAAGCCACTGCGCCTATTGCTGGCCCTAGGTCCAGGAAGGCAAGGATGGAGAAGTTTTCATTAAAGTCATCACAGAGGCAGGCTGCAGGGGTGGGACGTAGTCTAACTTGAGTGGACTTGAAAGATCGCTGTGCTTTGACATACGGGTGGGGCGAAGACAGATGTGTATGGAGGCCCCAGAGCCCGGGTGAAGCCCACAGGGACGAGGGGGCAAGAGAGGATGCACCCACGTTTCCGGCTCCAAGAAAACCGATGTGATCACTCCTTGAAACGGGGAGCGCAGGGGGACCATGTTTGAGTGCGAGAGCAGTCAGTTCCACTCGAAAAGCCAAATTTGAAGTGTTAGTGAGGTATCTTGTCGAGAATCAAGGTTACAGAGACTTGAAGTGAAAACACGACTGGAAGTCTTGCCACTCTTTTTCTCCTTTTCTAGTACAATCTGCTATTAGGGATCAGCAATCGGCAACAAAATCACTGACCAAAGTAAAAGAAATACTGTCATACAGTGATCTCTTCGTACAATCTGCTATTAGGGATCAGCAACCGGCAACAAAATCATTGACCAAAATAAAAGAAGTACCGTGATATTTATTTTCTAAATTCTGCTTCAGTCTTGCCTCTCATAGTTGTAATCTAGAAAACTCACTTATAACTTGTTCTGATGAGTCTATCTTTTACTCTATAAATCTTGTCATGGCTTTAGGTCATTGAAATACAACTTTCTTGTATCAGTTCCTTGAATTCAGATATCGCTTTATAATACTGAAGCATTTTCCCGTAAATTATAATAAAAGTATTCTTTTGTTATGAATTCTAAGTTATATTATTTCAAGTTAAAGATATCTAAGAAACCTCACCAATCAATATAAAACTTCTTCGAACAAAAGAACAGTTCTAAAATTAAATGAATATTGATTTCATTTTCCCTTGCTCTAGGTGCTAAGTCATAAATGACAACGCTACATGTACATGAATAAGTACTGGCAGACATGTCCCCAGTTGGTACCATACTAACCCGCAAAACATCAATTATCAGTTATACTTTTATACATATTCCAAAGCTACTCAGTATAATTTTATCAATATTATACTGCCAGAGATAAAGTTACAAAGTGATTCCTGTAATGTCAGCATTAGGCATGTGTGTGTCACCTTTATGGAAGAGCCTGCCAAAAGAAATCCATGTTTGAGAGTTTGCTTCTATAGCGTTACATGAATTTACACTGGGATAAAGAAGCAGGGTCACACCGGCAGGAAAAAATCTCCAAAGCTCTACGTTCTCAACATTCGCTCATCACCTGAAAGTCAATTTTCACCTTTTCACTGGCTGCGTTTGTTAGCTCAGGTTTCGCTCTCGGGCTCACGTGTTCTTGCAATATGGCAGTCCTACATGATAAAGCTACTGACAACAGTGCTTAGTATGAACCCACAGAGATTCCAGTGACACAATCAGAACACGGGGGTCTGCCACAGGAAAAGAATGTGACACAGGAGGCGCAAGGAACACCTTTTCAAGAAGGAGAATGTTCTAATGTCACTAGTTTGACTCCTACTTAGATAAGGCCATTTCGTTAGTAATCTTCCAAGTCACACTAAATTGCTCCTGAAGACGTTCATTTCTTCCCCACCGCCCCAAACCATTTTATTAGGAGCTAATTAATCTAGACATCGTGCCATTTCATAGTTCAATCACATCAAGCAGTATTGTACAACTGCTACCAAAATCAGTTTCAAAACATTTTCTTCCTTCTTGAACTCCTTGATATCAGCTCCCGCTAACCCCCACCCCTGCACTGAACCTCCCAATAACTCTTATTCTAGTTGTCTGGATAACTTCCTCTCTCCTGGGCTTCATATACCAAAAACCATAGAAAAATGCTTAACAAAGATTCAAGAAGACTACCAACAATGACAAAATACCACAGAGATAAACAGGGGATAAGGTGACACTGCTGTAACTGTTGAAGTCAGATTTATCGTGACATGTCCTTTCTTTTGCTTCTCTGAAGACAGGAGTTTTTAAAATGCCTGCAACAAATTTGCAACAATGCTCTCATTAGTCACAGTTTTTATTTTATGTCCCTGCTCCTCACTAGCCACCAAGAGCCTGGAAATAAATGCCCTATCGACTCTAAGAAATGCGCCATGTGAAGATGATGTAGCCCAGGTCTCAATGCTTCTCCCATACACCCTATTCACAGGAGATAGAGCTCTAGTTAAGATTTCAGTAAATGCAGGGTTAAATGAGCTGCCACAGCTATGCAAAAGCTTATACAGCCAAGGTTGCTGCAGCAGCATCGTTTTCAACAAGCAAATCCCAAACTTCACATTTCTCAAGATGTGAGTGGAAGGCAAAATCCCATGGAATTCTTACTCTCCAACTCCTACCAGTGGGACGACTAATAATATTTTTCCAGCATAAAATTGATCAGTTGGCTGAAAAATAATTTCAAAGACAGTAGACATTAACTGTCACTAGGTCAATCAATAACAACCTGATTTTTTCTAAGCTCAAACTCTTAACAAAACATGGAAATGCACTAATAAGGGAAACATGTCTACTTCTGCTTAGGTTCTAGGTCAAGTGGTACCATTAGCCATTACAAAAAACTCATTGCCACAGAGTCAATCCTGACGCACAGCACACACGTCCCTCCCTATAGGACAGGGTAGAAATGCCCCATAGGATTCCAAGACTAACTCTTCATGGGACTAGAAAGCCCCATCTTTCTCCTGTGGAGTGGCTGGTGGTTTCAAACTGCTGACCTTGCAGTTAGCAGACCAATTCATAACCATTACACCACCACTGGGGCTCCTTTATATATTATAATATGTTTCGTGTGGACTCTTTTGTCCTATCAGTTTTCACTGTGAATAACCACTTACTTCACACTTGGTGTGCCCACTTCCAAATATCACACTTTTCTGGGACTTCAGATGCTGCAGATGGCTAATATGTGAAAAAGTGATTTCTTCTTCACCTAACTTGGAAACTGTTAATTTCAAGGTTGGTGGTTCAAACTCACCAGCTACTCCAAGGGAGAAAAAGAACGATGAGGCTGTCTGCTCCCTTAAGATTTACAAAGCCTAGGAAACGCCATAGGGACCTACAGGGGATGGGGTTGCTGTGAGTTGGAATCCATTGGAAGGCAGTGAAGTGTTCTGTTTTCTCAACTCTTACAACTCTGTCTCGGCTCTAGAAGGGAGGCAATGAGTGTTTGGTTCAGTTAGCAGCCCAAAACTTAATTAACCACCGTATCACCTGCTATTTAAAATTTAAACTACATAAAAATTTAAATTTAGCTTTAACTAAAATAAAAAATATTAATTTAGACCCTCAGTTGTAATTTTTATATTTCAAGTGCCCAATAGCACTGGGCAGTGTGAATACAGAACAGTGTGAATACAGAACAAGTGAAGAAAGTTCTACTAGACAGTTCAGTGGGGACGTGGGAAAAATAAGAGCAAGATGGTGGTCTCTTGTGAGCCGCGGCCCTGAGTAAGAGAAGGGGCTATTACTAGAGTTCCATTCGACACTGACGTGCTCTCGTTTTAGGTCCATCCAAATACAAAGGACGCCTGGTGAAAAGGACTAGAAACTGGAGAGAGAGACAGGAGGCAGCTATGGAATATGTTGATGACCACCAACCACTGTCTCCTCCACTGGGGCTTCTCAGAAGGGGGCGGGGCATGGGGAGGAGAAGAGGGAGAATTTGCTCTGTGAATGGGGTAACGAAGACAGGTGAGCAAAGCTAAAGGGCAGAAAGAAAACCGGAGTACTCAGAACCTTCTTCTCTGACGGCACATTTGGACTGCCTATTAGGTATTTTATAATGCCAAATGGTGGAGCCCTACCCCAGACTAATTAAACTGCAATATCTGGGAGAATAGTCCTGGCATGAGCATATAAAAAATTCAATCTCCCTCCACAGCCTCTTATCCTATGTGTCTCAGGCTCTTTTTCCCTCTGCACTCAAATTGTTAAAAAAAAAAGATGAACACTCTAAGGCTTATGAACCTCAAAAGTACTATGGTGATCTAACATTAAAGAACCTAAACCATTTAAATAAATTTAGGTAAAAAAGCAAGTACAGGGAGACTACAAAAAAAATTCATGGACAAGTAGAATTAAAAGTTAATGAATTTTGCCAAGTACAACAGGACAAACACCACGAGTCCGCTGAGGTAAGCTTGAAAATGCAAAGGGGGCATAGGGGAAAAGCTACTGTATACATACATTCCTGGGGTGAGGTCTATAGGTACTATGGCAGGGGCCAGACCCAATTCAGGGATACGTATGGCAGTCAACAAAAAGGAAGGGAAAAGAAGAAGAAGAAGAAAAAAAGACATGGGTAGCAGGGGAACAGGCACTAACCCACCCAAGGGGAGGTGTTGTTTATGCCTCCACAGGAGAGGGAGAGAAGGACCAGACTTCAACCCAGGGCGACAAAATGTGAATGCAACAAACTGGCATGAAGCAGGGAACCAATAGAGAGGTCTGTGAGGCCAGTTCCAATCCCAACTACATGGACACTCCCCTCCCTGA